CTTTGAGGAAGTTATTCAACCTCTCTGGGTCTCAGTTTCCTCATCTGAAATGATCTGGGTTCTTTTGGTGAAGACAAAATGAAGTCAGGCCTTAAAATTGTTTGACACAGGAAAATAACAGGACCCCCCAAATCACTAAGCCAAGGGGAAAGTCAAGATGGGAACCATGTCGGCAAAACTGCTTCCCATTTCATTCCTAAATAAGATGGCTACAAAGATAAGAAGCCACTTACCTCCCTTACAGTTTGCCAGCTGAACGGTATAGGGATACCCATGACTAAAGATTTCCATGCAGGGCGAGGTGCAATGAGCAGTCAGCAATGCATTCCCTGAGCAGAAGACCATGAACCACCACTTGGTTATAACTACTAAGAGGTTGTGAAGGTCTTCAGGTATAAACAAAGAATCCCTTAATAAATTGGAGACTTAATAAAAAAAAAAAACAATTTGCCCACCAGGAAATAACTTATGGATAAAGGAGAGACAGAATTCAGTCATCCTTCCGAGGCTCACCTGAGACAACTGCATATCTGATTGCTTCCTCTGCCCTGGTGTTTATGTAACAATGCAGATTCACCAGCCAAACTGAATTGTGTATTCAGTGGAAGGCTAATCCAGGACTCAAAAGAATGCAACCTTTTGTCTTTTGTCTGCTTCTAACCAGGTAGCCCCCACTTTGAGTTGTCCCACCTTACTGGACAGAACCGACGTACAGCTTACACATATCGACTGATGTCTCATGTCTCCCTAAAATGTGTAAAAGCAAGCTGTGCCCTGACCACCTTGGGCACATCAGGACTTCCTGAGGCTGTGTCATGGATGTGTCCTTAACTTTGGCGAAACAAACTTTCTGAATTGACTGAGACCTGTCTCAGATATTCTGGGCTAACAACACATGCTGAGGGCACCGTAAGCGTTTACTACTGTGATGTGCTTGCTGTGTCCCGCAGAAAGAGCTCATTGAGGCCTGTGCTAATCAGAAGGGATGGGATTTAGGTAAACCAAGACAAGGGAAAAACAAAACAAAACAGCAACAATAACGCAGACTCAAGAAAGCCTGTGGAGTGTTAAGGATGTTGGGATATACATCAGGACTTGAAGAACGTGAATAACCTTGGGAGACATGAGAAAGTAGGCGGGATCAGTAGCAGAAGAATTGAAATTGGAGGGTTGCTCCTTATTGTTCTCCCTTGTGTCTAGGAGGGTGCGTTGCTCAATAAGTGCTTAGCAGTTGCTACAGAACTTCTTGGCCTAATTGTGTGGCTGCGTGTCTCTTATAGCTAATGAGGTTTTGGAGGTTTACTACTTTTGAATCCGTTTTAGCAAAATCAGTGAAAGAATTTCCTAAAACTGATTCAAAGCTCCAGAAATGTCCCTGTTCCTATAAGCTTTAGATCTGGTCAACAAGTCCAGGGACACCTCGTCTGTTTCCCAATTATAAACCCATGTTTATGCCTGAGAAGACTCAAAGCATCTTTCTTCTTGGCCTTTACCTTTACCTTCTAGATACAAATATCTGCCTCATTTTGGAATCAGCCTGATTTCATCAGTTGCTACGTGACCGTGAGCAGATTGCATAACCTCTCGGGTTCCATTTCCTCATGTGTCAAATTTGAGTAACGTGCCAGTTATTGCCTCTCACTTCCAAGTTCATCTTCGGGACCTGCCCTGCAATACCGACTCTCAAGCGGTCTCCTTTCCAACGAGCGTGATGTTAAGCTTTGTCAGTAGGGGGCGCCTCTCTCAAAAGTAGGTTTTAGTGAGTGACTGCTTCATGGCTACTGGGTTTCAGTTTTGAGGGCGATAGAAATGTCCTAGAATTAGATAGTGGTGATGGTTGCACAACGCTGGGACTGTCTTGGAAACCACTCAAATTGTACACTTTAAAAATGGTTAAAATGGCAAATTTTAAGTTATATGGATTTTACCTCAATTTAAGAAAAGTAGGCAGGGAACGATGGCTCACGCCCGTAATCCTGGCACTTTGGGAGGACGAGGCGGGTGGATTACTTGAGGTCGGCAGTTCGATACCAGCCTGACCACCATGGAGACATGGAGGAATCCTGTCTCTACGAAAAATATAGAATTAGCCTGGTGTGGTGGTGCATGCCTGTAATCCCAGCTATTTGGGAGGCTGAGGCAGGAGAAACACTTGAACCTGGGAGGCAGAGCTTGCAGTGAGCTGAGACCGCGCCATTGCACTCCAGCCTGGGCAACAAGAGCGAAACTCTGTCTCAAAAAAAAATGTTAAGTTGTGAGGATGGGACAAATTTGTGAAGGGGGAGAGCTCAAATTCGTGAATGGGTAGAGCTCAGAATGATTCTTGAAGCACAGCGAGTGGTCTGTAAATGCTGCTGGTGATTGCGTGTTCCCTTACTCATTTAGCGGCCTGTCACTGGCCTTCCTCTTCCTTGAGCTAATAAGACTCCCACGCTGTATTTCTGCTTACCACGAACCTGAAGCAGCCACGAAGCTGAAGAGCCTTATAGCAATGCCTGCCTCTCACACTGGTGGACCCTGGTAGCCTGTTCCAGGAGTGGGAGTGGAATGAATGCCTGCACTCCCACTTCCCCTGAATGGCTCCAAACAGCAGATAGTCAGAGGCTGAGTAACTCACATAGAGAAGTTCAGAGAGGACCTAACATTGGGCTTTGTGTCCTAGGGCTCTGGGCCTCTGGACTAGGATCTAATTTGGATGATGAAGAGAGAGCCTGATGATACCTGACTGTTTTTCTCCCCAGGTTCCCTGCCAGTCTGCTCTCCTGGAAGGATGACCGTGTGGCCCAATGCCACAGTCCCCAGGCATTGGTAGAGGTCCCTGACGGGTGGCTCTGCACAACTCTGAAGGTCAGCAGGGGCTGCCGAGGCTTGTAGGGCAGAGATGCAGGAAAAGCAGCAGACACAATATGGTGGGGTTTGAAGAAACCTGGAGGGACTGGGTTGAGGGACTTTTCTTTGTGATGTCATCTTAGGTATGATGGAGACAGGTGTAGAGGTCTTAAAAAGGAGCTCAGTTCCTTCATCTTCTTCCTCTCCCCTTCCATCTTTGTGACAATCCTCGTCACCTCGGACTAGACGACCAGTGTTTCCATTCTATACTCTATCAAATCCCAGATACTTCAGGACAGGCCTGACTCAGAAATTTTCTGTCCTGACATCTCCACACTCACCTATGCACTTTATGGAGCATTTGTCCTAGCCCTTGGCGAGGAAAATATGCCCACTGGTCAAATCCTTCTCCCTTTAACTTTATCCTGCTTTGCCACAGCTGCTTGGTGGGGGCTTGTCAGCGAGTAGGAGGGGAGAATGCCACCACCTTGGGGTGCCTCCCCGCAGAGCTGTAAGTGTCCTCAGCCTAATGTTCTGGGTGGGGGACACCTCTGTCACTCTATTGCCATATTCTATGAAGTCAACCCAGGAAGGCTTAGGTAGCAAATGCCTGTGCGAAAAGTCAGGGGAACCAGCTGCCTGCTTTCAGGACCCACATCTGACTGACTGACCCCTCCCCTTAGGGTAGCCGCAGCTTCTGGGTGGCATTGGTCTCGGGGGTCCCCGAGCTGCCAGACTATTCTTCTGAGGACTCCCCTGAGACCTCCCCTCAGACACAGTTACCAAACATATTTTTCATCTTTATTAATCTGCTCCTCTTCTCACATTTCTCAGCTCACAGCTGCACTGTTATCTGATGGGCTCGCTGCCAGCCTCATGAAGCCTGACAGTTATAAAGGGTGGATTAGCTGCAAAAGAATATTTATTAGGAAAACAATCTCTTTTCATTCTTTTGTTGTTTTATATGGAGTTGGCCACATATTGCCTGGGTGAGATCAGAGCGGTCCATTGAGAGCTGTGAGCAGAGGTTCTGTATCTGGGTGAGCGGCCATGATTATTCTTGACCGCCATGGGCCCCTCTCTCTAGGCCTCTCCCAAAGGGTCCTGCTGAATTTCACAGGTCAGAGGGGTCTGTGATATGGGTGTCTTTTTCCAGAAAGAAGAGCATCTTATTTGAAGGGATCACACCCTTCCTCCAGTCTCTAGAGTTGAGATGAGTAGAGAACTGACCCTTTCTTAATGATTTCAGTTTAGTATCTCCACTTGGCTGGGGTGTATTTAATGGCATTATGAGAGAAAAGAGATGCTCCAATAGGAAATGGAGGGAGGTAGGGGCTTTTTCTTACCCACGTATGAAGAGTTACGAAGAAACGTGGGTAAGAGTTTTTAGTACAGATGGCGTATCACTATGTTATCCAGGCTAGTCTCAATCTCCTGAGCTTAATTGGTTTTTCCACCTTGGCATCCCAAGGATCTGGGATTATAGGTGTGAGCCACTGCGCCCGGCCTCAGGTCCATTTCGATGCCTTTCTTGCCCTTGCTACTTCCCAGATTGAGTGCAGTCTGCTTGGTTAGTACTGAGATAATTCTAGGTCTCTTCAAGGAGAGTTGATTTTCATTGCCTTTGTGGGGAGTTGATTTTCATTGCCTTTGTGACTTTGGTGGTGGGATTGCAAATCAATTGTGTTTGCCAAGGCTGGGAAATGTTCTGATGGCATCGGCGAGCTCCCAGTGAAGCCCAGAAAACATGCCCTGTTAAGGCACACACTTTGAGTAAACTCTGGGGCAATGTCAACTTTCCCACACCAGCCTGGGAGCTGGCTGTGCCAAACCTGCCCGGGCCTGCCTGCCTCTGATGCAGCGTGACACAGGGGAATGGTGGGGAGAGCGTGGGCGAAGAGGGTAACTTCTGATCTGGTCTTTCTGACCCAGCGGTGGTCATCATCTGGAATTCAGGCCGGTCTGGGCTCTGGTAGTAATGGGAAAACTGAAGAGTCGGGGTCTCTGGAGCATGAAGGGAGAGTCACTGTGAGCAGAGAACCCAAGATGTATTCGAGCTACAAGGGAACTGAGACCCTGTCTGCCCTAGAATTCAAACCCCTTTCCCTACCCCTGCCACATTTGCCATGCCTGTTTCTACAGTATATTCTCTCTATTGTGTGTTCTCCTGGAGGAGAAGCTCTGGCTTTTGCAAAAGGAAGTGTCTTTCCAAAGACCTTTGGACACATGGAGAGAGAACAATGGGTTCTAGGGTCTTCTGCCAGGAGGATCTATACAATGTGTAGACACAACCCCTCTCAATCCAGCCCCGCTTTCCATTTTTTTCATTTCCTTTCCCCTCCCCCCATCACTGCTTTCGTGGTTTCTTGGTGATTCTCACCTCTCTGGCTGGGCCACCTGCTGCCTTGTCGTGGGAAGACATTAGGCATACCCCAGGTGACCTCATCACCCCCTTCCTTGTCGCTGTGCTCCTCTTGACACCCCGGTTTTTGGATAATGACACCAACGTTCTGTAAGTCACCTAGTCACTAGAGCTCAGGGCAATTTCTCCTTTTTTTCTTTTCTTTTTTTGAGACAAGTTCTGGCTCTGTCATCTAGATTGCAGTTCAGTAGCACGATCTCAGCTCACTGCAGCCTCAACTTCCAGGGCTCACGTGATCCTCCCACCTCAGCCTCCTGAGTAGCTGGGACTGCAGGTGTGTGCCACCACGCCCAGCTATTTTTAAATTTTTTGTAGATATGGGATTTCACTATGTTATCCAGGCTAGTCTCTATCTCCTGAGCTCAAGCGATATTCCCACCTTGGCCTCCCAAAGATCTGGGATTTTAGGTGTGAGCCACTGCGCCCGGCCTCACGTCCATTTCGATGCCTTTTGTGCCCTCGCTGGTTCCCAGACTGAGTGCAGGCTGCTTGGTTAGGATCTCCTGCATTCACACCCCATTTTTCGTCCTACCTACTGCTCTGATTTTGGTAATTTTCTCTCATCTGGGTTAATACCATACTTTCCTAACTGAACTTTCAATATTTTTCCTCTTTCTTTTTAAGTTTTTCTTCTACCGTGGGGCCAGATTAATCTCCTAAAAGGCTCTAATCATAACCTTGCAGTATTAAAAACTGTCGCCAACTCTCCATTGCCAACCCCCAAGTCCCCAGGCCACTTACATGGACAGCACTGGGGGCTCTCCAGTCTTCTTTTCAACCGCATCCTCGGAGGGACTATGACGTCCCTGAGGCCAGAGCTCTTGTGCGTTTTGTGTGTGCACTTATAGTCGTGATTGGCACAGAGCCTGCCTGCAACAGAGTGCCTGGCAATGAGCCCCCTACCCAGAAATGCTGCTCCTGTCTTCCGGGAATCCTGACTGCTTCTAAAAAATACCCTCCATTTTTCCTACCTCCTCCTTTGCACACGTTCTGCCTGGAACGAATGCCCTACCGTAAGTGTCTGTTCCACGCCTACCCATTTTCCCAGGCCCAGCCCAAATGGCCCCTTCCTTCACATAGCCCTCTGTGATTCCACAGAAGGACCCGCTCACCCCCTTTCTAAAGTGCCACGGTGGTTTTTACCCTCTCATGGCCCTTGACATCGCTTGCACTTATTTGGGTACTTCTCATCTCTTGTCCAGTACGGTTTGAGCTACTTGGGGACCGGGCTAGTTTTTATTAATCTTTTAAAGCACCTAATACAGTGTCTTCCTCTGGAAGGTATTTGTTCAGTTTTATTGAATTGATAAACACACGCTTGAGTCACCAGGAAATCTTTTATCTGCAGACTGAGTTTATCCATAACCATGGCATCTTACCGCTTAATGATGATGAATGACTTTGAGGTCAGTTAGCATTCAGTGTACTGGCCTCACATAAATGAATTATGTGGGTGGATCGACCAACTCTAATAAATGTGAACAAATTAGCACTCGTTGTCTTACAGCAAAAATTATATTGAGGTGAATTCTGTGCCAAGTTGTGGGGCAAGACGCTGGGTGTCCCCCCATCAGCACATCATGTCCTTTCTCACTCCACTGCGTTCCTCTTGACTTCTTGGTTTTTAGACGACGGCATTTTGTAAGTCATCCGGGCTCTAGAGCCCAGGCCCGTTTCCTTGCTTTCCTTGCTGCTTTCCAAATTGAGCACAGTCTATCTGTGCTGCTCTCAGTATCCTGAGGCACAGGATTGTTTGAACTTGGGCTGTGGGTGGGAGATGCCATAAAGATGGGCCCACGAGGGCCTTTAGCGTTTCTCTAGCTAAGAGCTCTCCTGGATCCTTCTGAGGAACCGGTTTCCTGTGATGGTCACGATGGGAGAGGCTGGTCAAGCCTCTGAGCCTGTGCTCATTCCCTTCTCCTATTTTGCGCCTCCGTGAAACTTCTGGAGCCACTGGTGGAGGTGGTTCTAAGGCTGTGGGGAGGGTCTCTGTGGTGACTCAGCACGGCAGAGGGAGAGGTCTGGCTTTCTCGGCTTCCTCTTCCGGCAGGGCCCTGAGAGGAGCTCAGGCCTCAGAGATTTCCCAGTTCCAATGTCCTGTCTTCTTAACAGCCCTCAGCTCACAGCTCCCCCAGAAAGTGGCCTTTATGTGTAAGGAGCTGAGTTTTCATCCCGGCACGTCATTCATCTTTCAATGCCTTAATTTCCTCATCTAATGGTGACATCTATTTTTGGGGGTGGTGGCATTGTTTTTGTGGATTAAATGAATGTCATACACTTTGAGAACCAAGTGTGTTGCTGCCTGTGTTGTAAGGGTGGGCGAGGTGTCTAAGAATTCCTTTGGGGAGGGTTAGGCCAGCTCTCTCAATTAAGTCAGTGGCAACACTTAATTGAATGGTTTGGTGCACATGATGCTTTGAGCTCCGTGCAGTGGGGATCCTGGAACACATGTCATTAGTTTGGCCCAGGCTGGGCTGAGGGCCTATCCTGGGTGTTATTTCAAGTTCAGTGTTGTCCATGGAGCTGTGGCACTGATGTAAAATGATTTGATTCTTAAGATCTTCCAGATAATGCTGCCCTTCCTTGGGAGCAGTGGATTGAGGGAGAGTTGGAAGGTATTCCCGGAATCTAACATCTAGGGCAGAGAGTGCCTCATTTCCTGTCTCCCGGGCCCTTCACCACAGCGAGCTGTCAGTAGGGGGAGCTCTGTTGCTGCGGTGCTGTGGCAGAGCTTCTTGCTGACTTGGGGTGGAGGGGCTATCTAGGGGCCTGAGGAGGGCTTAGGAGTGGCCAACAGGGGTCTCTTCTGCAGGAGGAACCTGAGGTGTCTGCTGAAGAGCAGCCAGGTCAGGAGTCAAGGGCTACAGGGTCCCCAGCTGGATAAGAAATGAAAACGTTGTGCCCAGTGCACCCATGTCTGACATAGGGAGTCTCACTAAGGTGGGGAAAAGAGAGAGGCGTGCAGCCTCACTAAGACCAGAGCTGCCGCAGCACCTGCTTGCTAGCTGATAGAATCCAAAATTGCCCTCCCTCTCCACCCAGGGCTGCTTTTGGGGACTGGCTGCCGGTTGGGGATGGGGGAGGCCAAGACAGAACTTGGAGTTCCTGCGTGTGTCCCATGGATGTCTCGTGCCCATTCTTATTGGCAGGGGAGGCACCCTGTCTTGAGTCTGGCCTTGGGAGGCGTCCTGTCCTGTCCCTGGCTGATCTGCTGCACCTGAGGCACAAAGGTTCTAAATGGGAGTGTCTCCATGTGGTGATTCAGGTTAACTGTCTTCTTGTGCACTTCATGCCCTGGCTCAGACTGGGAAGAGAGGACAAAATGGTCAAGGGACATATCCTTGTATTCTAGCCTGTGCTTGGTGGCCATGCGAGCGTTAGGGCGATAGATGCCTGTGTGTGCATGCATTTCTTAGACTCTTGGGGTGGCAGGGTGGGGTGAGCACTACGGATGTCCATCTTGAATATTCAGCAGGAGAGCACCTGGGTGGTCTCAGAAATGGCCCAGCAGTCATTTCTCATGAGCACGAGAGGAAGTCCAGCAGAAGTGGGTCGGTGTGGTCTTGTTCAGAACCTCTCTGCCCTTACTGGGGACCTCCAAGTTCAGTTTTTGTGCCCTGAATATTTAGGTTGAGATTGAGCTTGGTGCAGGTTGGCTCAGAGATGGAGGAAGGATTTGCTGGGACTCTCTTATGAAGGTCTCTGAGACCAGAAGACCATCCCCTGCATCCTTCGGTTTTGGGATAAAACAACAGGCTGACTTGAAGCAGTTTAGGAGAATCCTGCTGGGATGATGATAGATTAGAGATTCTCTCTGGGTGCATAGAGAAGGGACTGTTTTCCTGTTTGTAGTGGAATTTGCACCAAACATCTGAGTTTCAGAGATGGAGAGAGGCCGACTTGCTTTTCAGCAGCATCTGGGTTCTTTTAATTCCCATGAGCTTGGTCTCAATAGTATCATGAAAAATTGCTGTGACCTGCTATGCCTACTACCTTTTGTAAGCCTTAGTTTATAGTGTTGCTGGGGAAGTTAGCCCCATTTTCTCTTTCCTGCAAGCTGGGTGGGTCTACACCTCTAAGGTGCAGACATCAGTTAATTGGTAGCCAGATGGGAGCCCACAGAGACATCCTGCCCTTCTGGAAACACACGTGCAAACCTAAATTTTGTCTTTGCAAATCGGTTGACTAACTCTGCTTGCTAGAAGCAAAGTAGCTCTCACGGATTCTCCAGTGTGGAGATTTTCAGATCATGATGAATCAGACACAAGGCCAGGCCTCCTCCTCTGTATGGAGGCAACATTAGGTAAAGGGGAAGGCTGAGTGCTCAGGTCAGCATACCTAACAATGCCATCTTCTCCTCCCCCAAGCCCTTCTATGGCTCTGGCTGCTATTAGGTAGAGAGAAAAACCCTTTGGAAAGTCTACAAGGCCCTGCATGAGGTGCCTTCTCTGAGAGCCAGGCTCTTTAGACCCATCCCACACCCATCTCTGGACTCCAGCCACTTGGGACCTTGGTTCATTGATTCTTTCCAGACTTAAGGCCTTTGCATAAGTTGCTCCTTTTTTTTTTGGCATGTTCTTTTCTATCCCCATCCCATCCTTTTTTCTAGGTGATTCCCAGTCATTCTTTAGGGCCTAGCCTAGGTGGCGCTTTCCCAAGGAAGCCTTCTGGGACCTCCAAGATTGCATTCCATCATGTACTCTCAAAGGCCTTGGTAGCACTTATTACAATTATTAGTGTCTTGAATTGTATAATTGTTTCTTTTCTCTTTTCTCTGCTAGAATGTAAGCTTCAAGAGGGAAAGGCCTGTTAGTTTAGTTTTTATCCTGTTAGTCTCTCAGCCCAATGCTTGGCACAATTTAGGTGCTCAGTAAAAATGTGTTGAATGAATGAATGAATGAATGAATGGGGTCACCAGGTTGCCACTGTAATCCCTCTGGTCTTCTAGTAGACAAACTCCTGTCCCAAATTGTGTCAATGCTATTACTTGTTCTCACTCAGTATGGGGGAGAACCACAGGTGGGCAAAGTAGCTCTACATACAGCTCCTATGACTTTCGATGCTTAACTCTTGTGAGGTGATTATAGTCTCATCTCCCCCTGTTTTATCCCCCCCCCAGAGTCTCTGCTGAGGCAGAGTCCACACCCTACTATGACCACTGATTTCTTCCTTCTGATCCTTAGATTTTTGGTTTTTGTGTGAAAATGTGGCTTTCTCCAGGCAAAGCCCAGAATGCCACCTGGTCCAAGGATGATTGTTGGCTATGATCTCCTCAGTTACACTTCCCGAGCTGGCTTCTCAGGCTGGTCTACCCTGCTGGATGCAATTTCAGGATGAGACTGAGGAGCAGGTCGTCTAGACTGCTGGGTTGATTTTAAAGGAAACTTTAATATCTCCTGGATAAGCCAGCAATTGGTTTCTGCAAGTCCTCCAGGACTTTGCCCTTGAGACTTGGGTTCAGAGACAGCTGAGAAGACAGACTGTGAACTTCCCTTTGCCTGGAGAACTGGACTACAGCTTAATGGCTGGGCCCTAAGCAACTCTAGAACACCACAGTTGTCAGTTGTAGATATCCTTTACTCGAAGCCACTTCTGGACCTGCCTGTCCTTGGGGTCCTGGTGCTGAGTCAGCAGCACCTCCCTGCTGTCTTGGCACTGTGTGGCCAAACTAAGCCAAGTCTGACTATAATGAGTCGGTTCATCTAGAAGCTCACATCCTGTACCGTTTTCCAATAAGACACTCAGCCAACTGGCACCCAATAGTGAAGAGCGACTCTGAGAACCGAGGCTGCTTAGGACTCATGACCCTGCAGGAGCCAACAGCAAAATCTCTGTGGAGGGGGAAGCCATCCCACTGCCAGGCCTCTCTCTCTGCTCCATGTCAGTTCCTGTCTGGCAGTGCCATGGCCCTGGTTGGCAGTCAGAGATCCACTGCCGGTGCTTGCTGGTGGCTTGGCTCTCTTCCATCTAGCCAGGGCATTTGGACCTTTTTTCTATGTTCTGCTAACGGGCTTGGGAAGTGAGCCAGTGGTTCTCCTTGGAAGTTGCCTCCATCCATGTCATTTCCCATCCTAGTCTCAAGGGAGACATGTTTCTTTATCTCTTTCGAATTGACACCTTCTCTTGCCTTTGGATCAAATACAGATACCTCCAGCGGTACCAGTGCTGTGGGGAGGCCAAGGGGCAATGGGGTATGTAAAGGAAGTAGTAGTAGCAACATAGAGTTAAATTCAGTTGCCAGTGTTGGATGAAGCTTTGACTCTCTGGGGCTGTAAGTTAGCTAAGATAGAAGGCGGTTACAGGCCTCGTTCTTGCCTCCTGAACTGATTGGCTGTGGCTTTTATCAGGAATTCACTGGCACTTCTCTGAGCATCAGTGTTAACTTCTATCATGGGCTGAATTGTGCGCCCTCCTCCTCCTCTTCTAAGTTTACAGGTTGACTTCCTAATCCCCAGTATCTCAGGATGTGACTCTATTCGGAGGTAGGGTCTCTAAGGAGATTATTTAGGTAAAATGAGGTCATATGAGTAGGGCCTAATCCAATATGACTGGTGTCCTTATAAGAAGAGATTAGGATACGGATAGGTATAGAGAGAAGACCATGTGAAGACAAAGAGAGAGAGCGGCCATCTGGAAACCAAGGAGAGGGGGTCTCAGAAGAAACAACCCCGCCGACACCTTGATCTTGGATTTCCAGTCTCCACAATGGTGAGGAAGCAAATTTCTGTTATTTAAGCCACCCAGTCGGTATTTTGTTTTGGCAGCCCTAACAAACTAAAACACTCTTCCAGATGTGGCAGAGAGAATGTGCAGAGGGGCCAAGAGAACAGTGTCTTAGATGCTTCCAGTTTTCCCAGCTTCTTCATGAACTCTCAAGGTTGGTGGTATCCCTTTGGCATCTCTAGTTCTTTTTGCTTCAGGTAGCTACCAACCTCATCTGCTTTTGGTGGTTAGCCTGAGTAGCTAGTAAATAGAGTGTTTCTACTCTTTTTTTTTTTTTTTTTTTGAGACGGAGTTTCACTCGTTACCCAGGCTGGAGTGCAATGGCACAATCTCGGCTCACAGCAACCTCCACCTCCTGGGTTCAGGCAATTCTCCTGCCTCAGCCTCCCCAGTAGCTGGGATTACAGGCACGCGCCACCACGCCCAGCTAATTTTTTGTATTTTTAGTAGAGATGGGGTTTCACCATGTTGACCAGGATGGTCTCGATCTCTTGACCTCGTGATCCACCCACCTCGGCCTCCCGAGTGTTTCTACTCTTAATCTTATTCCCCCCTTTATGAAAACCTCATGATAGAGCTGCAGAATCTTGCCATCACCCAGTGTGGCTGATCCCACCCTCTGGAAGCTCACATTCTATATGGAAGAAAGACACACGGACCACCTCACTGCAGCATGGTGGGTGCTGTGATAGTGGTCAGCAGGGGGCATGAACTAAGGAGGACACCCTAAGCCCACCTGAAAAAGAAAGTCACAGAAGGCTTTGTGGAGATGATGGCCAAGCCTAAAGTCTGTTGGTTCTTTGAGGGTAGAGGCTGGGTCTTGTTCACCTTTCTTCACCCGTGGAAACTAGCACAGCACTTTGCATAAAGCAAGTGCTCATCTAGTGTGTTGGGCGAATGAGTCTTTGAAAATCCCTTCCAGCTTTATGATGCCATAATTCTGTGTCCTCAGAGGTCCCATAGCACTCAGATGGCTGAAGGTGCTGAGTGCTGACGTGAAGGTGGACAGACATGGGGTTTTATGAAATGCAAAATCATTTATTAACAATTAAACTGGAAACCAGGGAGGAGAGCATAATGAGCTTCCCTCCTTAGCCCAGATTTCTGGGAAAATCCTCAGGTGTAACAGCAAGAACACAGCCAGTGCAGCTGCCCCAAGTGGATGACCAGAGGCGACATCTTACTCTCCACAAAACCAGGGTTGGTCAGGCTCCTTGCAGCTGTTTCCCACAGAGAGGAAATCCCCTAAGTTCCCAGGTAGTGTAAACTGACCGTGTGTTTATAAAATACATGCCATGGCCCAAGAACATGAAACAGTTCAGATGCATGAACCTGCAATGCAGCAGGGATTCAAGACACTTGGGAGTAGGGAGGAGAACGTGGGTGAGAGAACGCTTCAGCGCCAAGGCAGAGTGGCTGTCCTCTGCAGAACACCCACATGGATCTAAAGCTGAAGTTCAAAAAAGAACAAACAGACAAACCTTTCAAAAAGAAATTGTGCCTAGAATTTGAAAGCTGAGTGGTCAACCCTCAGACAGTGCTATGAGTGAGTGATTGCAGACCACCCCGCACCCAAGGAAATCAGGGGCAGCTCATGCTCCCATGTGTCCAAGGGCTCTGAGAGCTCAGATTAAAATTCTTTCTGCCTGGGTTTTGCAAGATGGAGCCCAAAGAGCCCACTTGTGAGAAGGCAGGGGATTGAGGTAGGATCCCCTCCTCCCAGTACAGACTGTGTGGTGCCTTCAGATGAGCTGTTTTGTTTCACACTGAGCTGAGCTCACCTAGGCGATGACAAGAATACCAGGCTTAGTCCAGATCAGCAGAGGGGACAGGAAGAGGAAGAGGAAGCAAGTGTAGCCATGCGAAGCTGTGACTGACCGAAGCCTCGTCAGAACTGCTGGTTAGCAACATTTTTAATCCTTCATCCGGGTTGGTAAAACGTTGACAAGGGAGAATCCTTGTAGTGAATCTCTCAGTGTATTAAGAAAGCTGTTTCAGACCTGGGGACATAAGGCAGGAGTGTTGGAGTCATCAGACTGTCTGCAAAATATTAGTCATAAGACTCTGCAAAGACCCTTAGGCTGCACTGGGTGTGAGTCCCTCCAGGTTGAACTAAACACGGCAAACTGGGTGCACACAGACATCCTTAATATCTTCTGGGGACTCTGGAAAATGCTCGGTACCGGCTCCCTCAAAAATTGACTCTAAGAGAATTCACTGCAGGCTGCTGACCTTGAGTTGGGGAGTTTCTGATCTGCTCAGGCACCGTGCTGGGCCTACATAGTATCTCATTCAGTCTTACCAAAGACCGTTATTGTCCCTTTCCCACCTAGGGGCAAAGGAGACTTAGAGCAGTCAAACTGCTTTCTCACGGTGACAGGTAGGTGGTGGAGCCAGAATACAAATGCAGAGGCTCCAGCCCCAAAGCCCGTGCTCTCTGCTCACACTGGCCCGCCCAGGGCAGGCACTGTCGGAACTTCCTGGGGGTTTCAGGCTGTTCCGGGAGGGAGCCCAGATACCGAATAGGAGCCAAGGTGTGCTCAGGATCTATCTGAAGCACCCAACTCACTCCATTCCGTGGTGTGACTAACGGCATTTCAGATCTGTTCGTCTTCTGACCTGACCTCAGGAAGCCAAAGTCCCCTGAGGTCTAGGGTGTGTATGCTTGGGGACCTGAAATTAGAGGCACACCTACCTAGGATTGAATGTAACAATCCAACCAAGAAAAGGTGTGTGTGTGTGAGAGTGAGAAGAGCGGGAGAGAGAGGGAGGAAGAGGAGAAAGAGAGGGAGACGGAGAAAGACAGGCCTGGTTTGTTATCCAGGGGCCAGGAAAGGAGCTGAGAAGTCCCTGAAGATGCAGTCCAGGCCACCTCATCCCCCACCAGGCTCAACCCTCAGTACTTCAGCTTTCCCTGCTCCACATCCTCCCCTCTTTCCCCTTAACAGCTAAAGACACCCTAGACTGCCCAGAATGAAAAATATCCTGGAACTTACAGCAAAGAAGCTGCCATGTTCCACTGTATTCCTTTCTTTCTTTTTTTTCAGACAAGGTCTCCCTCTATTGCCCAGGCTAGTGTGAAGTGGTGTGATCTTGGCTCCCTGCAGCCTCGACCTCCCAAGCTCAAGTGATCCTCCTGCCTCAGCCTTCTGAGTACTTGCCTCAGACTCCCAAGTACCTGGGACTCAGCTATTGTTTTTCCTTGAGTTTTAGTAGAGACAGAGCCTTGCTCTATTGCCCAGGCCAATGTCAAACTCTTGAGCTCAAAGGATACTTCCGTCTCCACCTTGTAAAGTGCTGGGATTACAGGCGTGAGCCACCTCCGCTGTATTTCTCAACAACTGTGGGCCTGGCCCCTCCACTGTATTTCTCAACTGTGGGCCTCTGCCTCCTCTATTTTTCCCCCACCCTGTAGCCCCAGCTCCCAGGGCTGCCACATCTTCCCCTCCCAGCTCTGCTCTGGAGGCCGGATTCTCTGACTGGAAGGCTGTTAGGCTCACCGTTGGGAAAGGCCGTCCTTAGGTCACGTAGAGCCATAAGCAATACTAGCATCCTCCTTCTGCCATTTTGCACATCGGGAACCTCAGTGTCTCTCTTTCTCTCTCTAGCCTGGTCTTTGGGACCTAGGTCAGGAGAGCACGACGCTTTTCAATAGAAGAAGAAATCTCCAGTTCTTTCACCTTCTATCTTCGCAAGCCCTGTCTTTTTTTTTTTTTTTGAGATGGAGTTTCACTCTTGTTACCCAGGCTGGAGTGCAATGGCGCGATCTCGGCTCACGGAAACCTCCGCCTCCTGGGCTCAGGCAATTCTCCTGCCTCAGCCTCCTGAGTAGCCGGGATTATAGGCACGCGCCACCATGCCTAGCTAATTTTTTGTATTTTTAGTAGAGACGGGGTTTCACCATGTTGACCAGGATGGTCTCGATCTCTTGACCTCGTGATCCACCCGCCTCAGCCTCCCAAAGTGCTCAGATTACAGGCTTGAGCCATCCTGCCCGGCCAAGTCCTTTCATAGGCACTTCCTCTGACCTCTCAGTAAACATCGGCTTGAAAGTGAATGGTATTATCAGCGGCCAGTTTACAATATAAGGGGGTCTGAAGAGGAATGAAGGAGAAGCAGCTTTGAAGGAAGGAAGAGTGATCAAAATTAGGTTTCCGTCCTTTTGGGTTGCAGGGGAGGGAGGGTCACTGGTGGTAGCAAGCCAGTCACAGGGCTTTGCCGCGCAGGACTAATTCTGTGTTCGGCACTGGGTGAGGCAGGTGCAGTTGCCACCTGGGCTACAATCTGGGTCCCAGAGGAGTTAGTTCGTATCTTGGGGCCATCGTGCAATTGCAATCCCATTTTGAAGCCAGGTAGCAGAGTTTGTGCTCATAACCATTTATTCTTTTTAGCTGTTTCTGTCTTTTATTCTCCTCCTTTGTTTTCTGGAGCAGTCTTCTCCCCTCTCCCCAGCTCCCCAAAGACCTGCCAAGTTTGTTTTTTGTTAAATGCTCATCTCTCCGACCCCCCTGCTGCTGGGGAAGGTGTTGGTGTCTCCAGCGACCTCAGGCTTCAAGTCTCCATCTGGGAGGTACCGGTTAGCTGCCCATGCAAATCAGTTTTGCCTAGAGATCTTGTGAGAAGAAAGGGAAGCTCAGAGGAGGCACTGATCTTGCCCTGTGTTTTAGGGAAGCCGCTTTCGCTGCTGCTTTCAAGTGACCTGGATCTCATTAAAGATACTGATGTGGGGTGTGCTTCTGTGAAGGTGCCTGAGAAATGAACGTGACTTGCTTGTTGCCTTTGAGGGTCCGTGGGAGAGAATCACAATCCGGTCCAGATCTTATCTTCTCAGGAAGGGGCACAAAACAACACAGCAAAACAGCTGCCCGGACGAGAATACCACCTAGCGTCTTCACACCACACACCCACATGCGGTGAAGTTTCTGTTTCCCATGAAGATGAAAGAGGAGGGGTGAGGCGTGTCAGGAATTCCCTGAGCCCTGATAGGAGGGCTCAACTGGGAGAAGCAGGGATTATCAGGCCAACCCACGTAGACGAACCCACTCAGCTCTCAGGACTCGTCTCCCCCACCTGGACTGCTCTCCCTGGTGCGGCACTGAGGGACTGAGGGCTCTGATTTTGTTTTCCAGAAGAGGCGATCCACCGATAAAAACCTATGAAACATGTGCTCTGCATCCACCTTGTATTCTGGGGAATCCAGTTAGATACAAGACCATCCGGGCCCATGTGCAGCTTCATGAAACCAATCACCAATAAAGGAAATGTTAAGTAACAGATAACGCACGTGCTCAAATCACACATGTGAGTGGTTAAGTGGTACATGACTCATTGGCAAATGAAAGACACATTCACTCTCAGTTTGCTCCTATACTGACATTTCGCTGAACGAACGGAACAGTCAGAAGGGTAACACATCACTGCAGCTAGCTGAGGTGGGGGCGGGAAGGGGAGGGTCTTAGGGCAGCATGGCATGGCTGCCGCTACCTCTACATGTCCCCAGTTGTAATATGAAGGACTTGTTTTCTGGATGGATTCAGGGCCAGTTTTGCCATGCTCCCGGAAGGCTCTGTTTGTACCTTCCTGCAAGACATCAGTCCTACCTGCTCACATCTGTTCCCTTCCCTTCAATTGGAACCTACTGCTGAGCCTTCCTCCATTATTTGCTGTAACACACTGATATAGGCCCCCTGCTTCTACCCTTCAGAATGATGCCAGCAGCTTCTCTGCTATTGCCTTGGCCAGGATAAATTCTCACTGAAATGCTAATAGAAGTGAATTGAATGGAATGGAAGGTAATTGGTTTGGGCAAGTCCCAGCTCTGTTTCTCACTAGGTATGTGACTGTGAGCCTCAATTTCCTCATCTGTAAAATGAGTACAAAAAGGATATCTTTATTATTATTATTATTACTTTTAATTACTATTAATATTTTTATTAATATTTTTTGAGATGGAGTTTCACTCTTGTTGCCCAGGCTGGAGTGCAACAGCACGATCTAGGCTCACTGCAACCTCTGCCTCCTGGGTTCAAGCGATTCTCCTGCCTCAGCCTCCTGAGTAGCTGGGATTACAGGTGCCCACCACCACACCCGGTGAATTTTTTGGTAAAGATGAGGTTTCACCATGTTGGTCAGGCTGGTCGCAAACTCCAGACCTCAGTGATCAACCTGCCTCCGCCTCCCAAAGTGCTGGGATTACAGGCCATCACGCCCAGCCAAAAACGGATATCTTTATTGTATGATTGTTATGAGGATCCCAGGAGATAATGAATGTGAGGGCACCTATCACAGTGCCCGGTGTGTGTTCAGAGTCTACTGCCGTGTGGGCATCACCAAAGCCCACACCAAAGCAGTGCTTCTCAAACCGCCCTGTGCACCCCGATCACCCGAGGAGCTTGTGAAACATGGATTCTGATTCTGTGGAACGGGATGGGGCCTGAAATTCTATATTTCTAGTAAGTTCCTGAGCTGGTTCAAGGGCCACACTTTAAGTAACAAGGTATAAAAGGACTTTGTGATTGGAACTCTGCATTTCCATGATTCGCTCGGGTGCTGACCCTCCCCTGCGTTCATGGTTTACACTGACTCTTGCCTTCTCTGTGTTTGGAGCCTTTTCCGCCTCCTCTAGTCTTTATTTCCCTCTGCCTCTGTTGCTGGCCTTTTTAGTACCTCAGTGTACTTTCCCCAGTGGCCTCTGACTCCACACTTCTCTCCAGCTCTGCCTTCTAGAGTGGCCGTGCTCACACTGACTACCCGTTTTTAATACTTCTGGTTTAGTGTCACAAGACTCTCTTAAAATTTGCCCAAGGTAACCTTTGGATAAAGCCCAATCCATTTTTCTTCTCTCCTGGGCTGCCAGGAAACTGACAATGAAGTTTTGTTCTGAGTTATAACATTCTCTCCCCAAGTTTTAGGATAAAACTAGTTTCTTCCCACTTGCCCTTCTTTTATGACTTGGTTCTTAACAGATTTTATTTTTTATTGTATTGTAGGTGTTGCCATTTGCCAGCTGAGTGAGCCTGGGCAAGTCAGTTAACCTCTTTGGGATTCTGTTTTCTTTCCTATAAAGTGGAGATAGTGAAGGTACTTACCTTGTAAGACTGTTGGAAAGATTAAATGAGCGAATATCTGTAAAGTCCTTAGAACAGTGTTTGGCACGAGGTAAGCACCACGTGAATGTTACTCATTGTTGTCGTTACTATTTTATAAACAGCCTCAAACACTTTGGAAAGTGAAAATGGGTATCGTCATCATCAGAAAAACCGTGTCAGCATCAAAGTGGAATATAATACACCATGAAATTATTATATTACTCTGAAATGCATAAGTTATGGGACATCTTTCAAGCTATTAAGAAAGAGATTTAGGACAAATTAAATCAAATACAGTAGATAGTAAACTTTAAGAAATTCGTTTCTTGTATCCTAAAATCAAGTAGTTCCAAGATGGATTGAAATAAAATAGAATTTGTCCTGTCTGACTGTGTGCCTTGAACCACAGCAGTCTACTGAGAGGCCATATCATCTCCACGCCACGAAGTGGGCTTTGAGCATTGTAGTCTTGACTCAAACAATTCTTTTGAAGCTGCTTCTTTTGAACTTCTTTTCTGCCCTGTTCTGGCTTTTGGATCTCTTCTAGCCCCTGACACGTGGGCCTTGTCTCTCATTTCTGGTCCAACTAATTTCTTAAACCTAATCATTGGATTCAGCTGACTGGATTTGACACTGTTGCCTTCTCTGTCTTGTCACATTTCTGTTTGTTTCAGGACACAATCTCACTGGATTTTGCTGTAGCTCCTAGGACTTTACTAGATAACCTGGGGTTCTCATGTATCTGTCTCACACCTTCATGATTCCCTCAGTGAAATTTATTTTATGTCTGTTCTGTGTCAAACACTGATATAAATGCTAAGGAATATAGAAGTTAAAAAAAAAACCAACAAAAAACAAAGTTTTGGCTACCATAGAGGTTACATTTTTGCTGGAGGAGACAGACATAAACAAATCAACAAATGCTATATACTCTACATTCTTAAAGTGTGATCCGTGGGTCAGCAGCAATGGGATCATCTGAAAGCTTGTTACCAGTGCAGAACAACCCAGCAGAGTCATGTGCAGTTAACAAGATCCACAGTTGATCTGTGTGCACATTACAATTCGAGACATGCTGCTCGTCCATGCTATGAAGGAAAAGAAAGCAGGTTCAGGGATTAGAAAGTGCAGGTGGGTGGAGTGTGCATGAGTGTTGTTTTCTATGGGATGGCCAGGGAAGGCTGCCTTGGTAAGACAGCACCTGCTCAGCAACCTGAAGAAGGGAGGAGCATGCCTGGTAAATCCTTTCCCAGCAGAGGAAACGGCGAGTGCAAAGTTCCCTAAACAGGAACGTGGTGGACCTCTTCAAGGAGCAGCAAGGGGGTCAGTGTGCCTGGAGCAGAGTGAACAGGAGGAGAGTAGAAGGAGACAGGGGCAGGAGGGTGCCAGATCATTAGAGCGTGGGTCAGATTGAGAACCCTCTGCCCAAGTGGGATGGGAAGCCTTTGGAGGGTGTTAGAGAAAGTGGAGACATAGTTATGCCTTAAAAGGATCACTGGCTGCTGTGACTGTGGAAGAACAAAGTTAGAGGCAGTGAGACCAGCTAGAGAAGGGTCATATTAATCTAGGGGAGAAATGGCAATAGCTTAGGCTAGTGTGGTAATGTTGGTGGAGGTGCTGAGTAGTGGTATATGAGACATATTCTGAAGGTAAAATTAATAGGATTTTCTGATGGGCTGGGCGCAGAGGATGAAGAAAGGAGGGAAGCCAAGGACGACCCCAACGTTTTTGTTCGAGAAACTTAGATAGGATTGCCATTGGCAAGAGGAGCTGATTTGATGGGGAAAATTGTGGATTTTGTTTTAGACATGTTAAGTTAGAAATGGTTACTGGAAAATCAGGTAGACAGGTTGAGGATGCGTTTGCTTACGCGAGTTAAGGTTTGTGGGAGACATTTAAAGTAGGATGGATTTTAAGGACCTTCTACTTACGTCACAGCTGAATACACTGAGCCTGAATGAGGTGAGGTGGCCTTGACCAAGGGCATACAGTGAGTTGGTCACTGTGCTCACTTTTGGCCTTTTGTACTCATTGCATACATTCTGATTATTTCTTCTCCTTTGGATGGTTGTGGCATATGAAATGCTACGTGCTTTAGTAGGAAACAAAGCAATTCCCTGAAACATTCTCTGTAAGTTATCTCATTTGATTAACTCTGCTTTACAAATGAATAAGCTAATGTATTGGAGTGATAAGTAACTTGCACAGTATCACATACTTAAAGCAAAAACCCAGAGAAGGCGAGAGACTCGTTCTTCCTGCTTTAGGCTCGTGGAAACGATGGAAGTTGAAGGCCTTTTGCTTTCCTTGCATGGAGAGATGGCAACAAATCAGGTCAACATATTACTAAAGTAAATTTGTTTATTGGAATTCCCTAACTTTATAGAGTTGTGGAAATGAAAGAAAACCCATCTTTGATATTTCCTGCCAAAGCCTCATTCCTAGGCTAAAAGGCTCATGGGTTGGATTCTAGGTGGCCACTCTTGAATCTCTAGCTACATCAGGAGTGTCACTTGAGCCCAGGAGTTTGAAACCAGCATAGGCAACATTGCCAGAGCCCTGTCTCTACAAAAAAGTTAAAAAATTAGCCGGTGTTCTGCCATGCACCTATAGTCCCAGCTACTTGGGAGTCTGAGGTGGCAGGGCCAAAACCTTGTCTAAAAAAAAAGTTTCAAAGAGACTCACAGATTCATTTTACAAATGAGGAAGTTGAGGCTTAGAGCAGCTAAATGAATAATTCAAGATCCTATTGAAGGTTAGTAACGGACCTGAGACCAGAACTATCTTCTGACTCACAGTGCAAAACGTAGGACTTCGAAGATTTGTCTTCAACTTCCATCGTTTCCATGAGCCTAAAGCAGGAAGAATGAGTCTCTCGCCTTCTTTGGGTTTTTGCTTTAAGTATGTGATACTGTGCAAGTTACTTATCACTCCAATACATTAGCTTATTCATTTGTAAAGCAGAGTTAATCGAATGAGATAACTTACAGAAAATGTTTCAGGAAATTGCTTTGTTTCCTACTAAAGCACGTAGCATTTCATATGCCACAACCATCCAAAGGAGAGGAAATAATGAG